CAGCACCTCTTACCTGTTTATCCCCAATAACTGAAATCTAATAATGGGGTTGTTCGGTTCTAATACAACTGATAGGCAAATAAGATCTGCCTTGTGTTGTTTGCCGTTTTCCCCTTATGGCTTTTTCAAGAAAGCAGATGGGCAATGTTGCACGTTTTTGTTGCATGCGCATCTCATCAACAAGGGGAGGTAACATATTTTTGTTCTTACGTGCAGGTTTCTACCCATCCGTTGCTTAGACTACCTGGAAGAGCGCCTTAGACTTGCATATGGCTCCTAGTTAAAAGCCAAGCACCGTTTTCACAGATTGCATGCTACATCTAGTTGTGTCAAGCTCTCTGGTTATAAAGAAATTGCAAATTTTGCAGTATCAGCGCTTTCTCAGCTACAGAGGAGCGGCCCTCAGTAATAATGATACTGTAATAATCAGACCAATGGCAATAAAATACTATCTAGTTTGCTTGTTCTATGCATTCTTTGCAACCAAAATTCATTGCAATTATCTTTTAGTTCCTTATAAAATGCTGGGTTCCTGTTCACCATGTCAAAGTGAATATCAGATTCCACCAAGCCTTGCATTTTGCGTTAAAGGCCTGCCCTTGCGAATGCAGCTGATTTTGCGCATACTTGCCCTCGAAAAGACTTAAACTAGCGGCCAGCTTCTCCCATGCTCAGGGAACTGGGGAAAGTAACGAGTGAACCTAGAAAGGTGACAAGTCAAATCTGAAAGACAGATGAGAAACGTAGGACTGCAATAATTCTCATGTACCACAGCTTCGGAGGAGGAAAGGGTCTAAGAATATTCTATAATTTAATTTCCATACTTAAATCTTCTAAAATTGAACTTGATTTTCTATTGCATAATGCTAACTTTAGATATACAAATTACAAGTAAGACATACTCGATTAACAATGTTGCATGTAATTTACCGGATATCTAATTTAATTAGGCCACATCTAAAGTTGTCAAGGGATGATATAACAAAGATTCTATTTTGATATATTCATGTCCAAAATCAAATTTAAGCATGATGATGTTCAGATTAAAAAAAATTAGTGACATTTTATTTATATGTTGAATTTAAATATTGTGTATGACTGGAAAATTATAAATAAAAACAAATTCAGAAAACTAATATCTCATTATTAAAGAGTTAAATAAATTAATGAAAATTTTATTAAAAGAAAAAGTTTAGGGAGAAAATGAGTCATAATTTTTGAATAATTTTACTTTAAAATTGAATTTGAAAAACTTCGTAAGGTAATAATGTATAAGGTTTTCATGTCGGAAAAATTATTATTTTCATGAATTAATTGAATAAATAAAGTAATCCTTTTTTTTTTTGTCTTTCCAAAAAAAAGGCAATTTTATTTTATTTTTTAAATTTATGATGTTATTTTGTAAATTATCCTTATAGTTGAAGTGGCCTAACATTTTCCCTTTTTATTTTTTTTCTCTTAATAAAATTGTTATTGATTTAGAAAGAATATTTAAAAAAAAAAGAAAAAATGCCATTCCTGGAATGAGAAATAAAGCAGCAACAAATCCTACATTACGGTGGGGGAAACTGATTTGAGTTGACCCGGTCAAAACAGAAAACTATTATTTCAATCCTGACGCTTGTTGGCCGTTAAATTTTATTCCTTGGCGGTGTTGTCAAGCCTCAAGGCACGGAGCCAGCAACGGCTGTCCTCGCCTTCCCCTTAGTCATCTCCTTTCTCACGCTTTCCACCTTCTCTCTCCTGTCGAACGCTATCCTTCTCAACGCACCACCACCGTTGAGCCGCCACCGCCGCTTCTTCAGTCGAACGACCTCCTCCACGGTTAACACTTCTTCAATTCAACAGAATTCCTCGACAAACGCCAACAATGAGAGTCACAGAAAGCTTCCGATCTCACATTTCAATAAGCCATTCAAAGACTCCGGGTTCCAAGAAGTACAACTACTTATATTCCTTTTTAATTATTTTTACACTGTTATTCTTTTTTATTTTGAAAAACAAAAAGAATTTAACAGTAAAAATTAAGATACAAAACTAACAGAATGGAGAAAAGAAGTTGCTGGTTGGTATCAGCCCCCCCTGAGGCTACCAAAATGCAATTGCTGCTCTCATCTGGCTACACATTGATGATACACTTCTAATTCTTTTCCCCCCTTTTTCTCTTTACCCTAGCTTCTCTTTCTTTTTTCTTTTTCCAAATCCTTTTCCGATTTTATTGTTTATTTTTTCAGATTCAACTACTAAGTCTTCCATTGCCTCCCTTGTACAGATACAAGAATGACTATGACGACTAAGACTTGATGGGTTTTTCTGTTGTGTCGAGTACTCCTATGCCTCACGCTGGCAAGTCCATGGCTTCAATATATCACAACTCGAAGTAGCCCGGGCTGTGGTTCTATATAGTCAAGGCACTCTCTCTTCAAGGAGACATCGCTGTACAGCAACTGGAAGTCTTGCTGGAGTGCGAGAACTCCTGGTGTGGTGGCCAGTTCCAACACATATGTAAACCTGCAGACGCTGATCTGCTGCCCGTGCTGTGCTCCTGAGCACTGACAGTTCATGCTTCAGCATATGAATGGCTTAACTAACATGCATCCCATGCTGGTCTATCATCCGCTCCTGCTCTCTGACATCCTCTGGAAGAACTGGGTTCCTCTGGCGATATATAGATTGTTATTATTACACTTCATTGTTTTAAGTCGCCATGCCGAACAACTATTCTTCTCAACGCACCACCACTGCTAAGCCGTCGCTGCTTCAGTCAAACAACTGCCTCCACGCTTAACACTTCTTCAATTCAACAGCATTCCTCGACAAACGCCAGCGACGAGCCGCAGAAAGCTTCTGATCTCACATTACAACAAGCCATTCAAAGACTTCAGGTTCCAAGAACTACAACTACTCACATTTCAACAAGCCATTCAAAGCTTCAGGTTCCCTTTTAACTATTTTTTACACTTGGTATTGCTACTATTACACTTTGTTGTTTTAAATTAATTGTTTGCAATGAAAATAGGTGTAATTGTTGCTAATTTCGTAGGAATAGTAGGTGTCCGTTGGATGTGCAGTGATGGAATGCAGCAACACAAAGATAGTGTAATAGTAATGGCTTAATTTCATTACCATAATTGTTTTTACCATTATATTCTTCTACTTTCCTTTTTGGCGGCAAAGTTTTTCACCCCGCTGATTTTTAAATTCTTGTCAAGTGCCAGCTTCTTTCATTAAGATTTTGTTTGTAATGATCAGGTTGGAGCCAGAACTATGAATCCTTTGACATACTTGAGTTCTTTGTCCAGAACCATGGAATGTTGCATAAGTATATGGAAGCAAGTTTCTATAAGTTAAATAATTTCTTATACATTTTACTGATTCTTTTTGTTTCTGAGTCTGTCTTTTGATGATTATTTGTTGAGACCACCTTTCTTTGTGTGCTTTTTATGCATAAACTTAAATAAGGGCGAGGTTAAATGTGTCATTGGATGTTTTAGATTCTGGTTGTTTGGCCTGTGATGTATGGACTTTCGTCCATTTTCAATATGTTTTCTTCTGGTTATTTATCTTGTTGTTGTTATTGTGCATTTTTGTTTTCTTCTGCACAATCATCCATGAGAACTTTTCATTCTTACCAGTGATAGAAAATGCAAAGCTTGCAGAAGGTTCTTGGATTAGCTTATTTAATATGCTATTATACTTTATTAGAATTTTGTTGAATTCATTCAAAGTGGGAGAGAACGTTTTATTTTTTGAAACTATGATGGGTTTGAGTGGTTACTAAAGGTGAGCACCACCTTGTGTTGTTTAGAGAAATAAAATAAACTTTAAAGGTGTGGGTGTGTGGCATTCCTATTATACATAGGTATAATGGTGTCAATATTTGAATCTTATCCTGTTATAAGATGCATTCCTATGATTTAATCAAAGGTATTATGGTGAAAAATTCATATTGAATATATTTGTCATGGCATTCCTATTGTCTAATAAAGGCACAATAGTGCTTATGTGAACATATAGCTTAATATATTAATTTTACATTCCAATTGTACATTAAGATACAATGGTATCAATCGAGAATTCCTTTTACTTCATTGTCATGATGAATTTGGTTGGTTAAGTTTAAGGTGAGAACCATTTTGTGCTGTTTGGAGCAATAAAGAATTTGTAAGGTGTGGGCATATGTGACATTCCTATACATTAAGGTATAATGATGCCCATATATAAATCTAACATCTTGGTTTGTGATGCATTCCCATTTTTCCGTCAAAGGTGTAATGGTGCATTATTGATATTTTAAATATTTAAATGGCATTCCTATTGTGCAATAAAGGCACAATGGTGCTTATGTGAACATATAGCTTGATGTATTAATATTACATTTTGATTATACATTAAGGTATAATGGTGTCAATTGGGAATTCATTGTTTTTTTTATTGTCATCATGGATTTGGTTGGTTAGTTTAAAAACCACATTGTTGTGTTTGAAGAAATAAATAAACTATAAGGTGTGGGCATTGTGGCATTTCTATTATGTATTAAGGTATAATGGTGCTAATATATAAATCTAATATCTTGTTATGTGATACATTCCTATTTTACCATCAAAGGTATAATAGTGCAAAATAGATATTTAATATATTTTTTATGGCATTCCTATTGTGTAATAAAGGCACAATGGTGCTTGTGTGAAGATAAAAATTGACGTGTTAATTTGATATTCTGATTGTACATTAAGTTTTAATGGTGTCAATTGAGAATTCGTTTTGTTTCATTGTCATGATAGATTTGGTTGGTTAGCTTAAGGTGAGAACCACTTTGTAGTGTTTAGAGAAATAAATAAACTATTAGGTGTGGGTATATGCGGCATTCCTATTATACATTAAGGTATAATGGTGCAAAATAGATATTTAAAATATTTGATATGACATTCCTATTTTGCAATAAAGGCACAGTGGTGCTTATGTGAACATATAGCTTGATATGTTAATTTGATATTCCAATTGTACATTAAGGTATAATGATGTCAGTTGAGAATTCATTTTTTTTATTGTCTTGATAGATTTGGTTGGTTAGCTTAAGGGAAAAACCACATTTTTGTGTTCGGAGAAATAAATAAATTATAAGGTGTGGGGTATGTGACATTCCTATTATACATTAAGGTATAATAATACCAATATGTAAATCAAACTTCTTGGTATATGGTTGATACTTATTTTACCATCGAAGGTATAATATGGTGCAAATAGATATTTAATATATTTCCAATGGCATTCCTATTGTGCAATAAAGGCATAATGGTGTTTATGTAAACATATAGGTTGATGTGTTAATTTGATATTTCGATTGTACATTAAGGTACAATGGTGTCAATTGAGAATTCCTTTTGTTTCATTGTCATGATGGATTTAACCACTTTATGGTGTTCAGAGAAATAAATAAACTATTAGGGTGGGCATGTGATATTCTTATTATACATTAAGGTATAATAATGCAAAATAAATATTTAAAATATCTGAAATGACATTTCTATTGTGCAATAAAGGCATAGTGGTGCTTATGTGAACATATTGCTTAATATGTTAATTTGACATTTCGATTATCCATTAAGGTACAGTGGTGTCAATTGGGAATTCATTGTTTTTTTATTGTCATAATGGATTTAGTTGGTTAGCTTAAAGTGAAAACCACATTGTTGTGTTTAGAGAAATAAATAAACTATAAGGCATGGGCGTGATATAGTCCTATTATACATTAGTATAATGGTGCTAATATATAAATCTAACATCTTAGTATGTGGTGCATTCGTATTTTACCATCAAAGGTATAATAATGCAAAATAGATATTTAATATATTTCCTATGGCATTCTTATTGTGTAATAAAGGCATAATGGTGCTTATGTGAACATATAGTCGGATGTCTTAATTTGATATTCTAATTGTACATTAAGGTAAAATGGTGTCAATTGAGAATTCCTTTTGTTTCATTGTCATGATGGATTTGGTTGGTTAACTTAAGGTGAGAACCACTTATGTTTAGAGAAATAAATAAACTATTAGATGTGCGCATATGTGGCCATTCCTATTATACAATTAAAGGTAGAATTGGGGAAAAATACATGTTTAAAATATTCGACATGACATTCCTATTGAACAATAAAGGCACAATAGTGCTTATATGAACATGTAGCTTGATATGTTAATTTGACTTTTCAATTGTACATTAAAGCACAATGGTGTCAATTGGGAATTTATTTTTTTTTATTGTTGTGATGGATTTGGTTGGTTAGCTTAAGGTGAAAACCACGTTGTTGTGTTTGGAGAAATAAATAAACTTTAAGGTGTGGGCATATGGCATTCTTATTATACATTAAGGTATAATAATGCCAATATGTAAATCAAACTTATTGGTATATGGTGTATACCTACTTTGCCATCGAAAGTATAATATGGTTTAAAATAGATATTTAATATACTTCTCATGGCATTCATATTATGCAATAAAGGTACAATGGTGCTTATGTGAACATATAACTTGATATGTTAATTTGACATTCCGATAGTACATTAAGGTATAATGGTGTCAATTGAGAATTCCTTTTTTATGTTGTCGTGATGGATTTGGTTGGTTAGCTTAAGGTGAGAACTATTTTGTGGTGTTTGGAGAAATAAAGAAATTGTAAGGAATGGGCATGTGCCATTTTCATTATACATTAAGGTATAATAGCGTCAATATGTAAATCCAGCATCTTGGTATATGGTGCATTCCTATGGAGAATTCCTTTTACGAAGTTGGAGGCATGAAGCTGCAGGCTCTATGTTTAATTGTACATAGCTTAATGGAGGCATTTTATGTTTAATTGTTCTTAGCTTAATGTAAAGATGTCTTCTGTGAACAAACTCACAGGTAGAGATGCACAATACAGGTTCACGCATTTCATATATGTTCTCCCATTTTTAATTAATGTTTTCAAGCACAAATGCATTTTTTCTCTTTGCATTCTTCTATTTTGCATCTCTCATCACAAGATGTTTTGGACTACCACCACTTTCATTGTTTTATATATTTATTTTTGGCACAAACCTTTGGTCTTTTAGGAAAATACTGTTCATCCCAACACTTTTGTCTCACTTAGTTTATTGATTTAGCTGTAATATCTAATCTATGAATTAGTTGAGTTACCGTACCATGTCAGGTAGACTCCACCTTTGAATTTGTCCAATAACTACTTGCCGTGTCAAGGAGTACAAATATTTGGGAGAAAAATAACGGGGCAAGTAGCATGACTTGGTCTTTTATATCTCTGTGGTTGTCACTCAGCTGGTTGAAATTGTTTTAAGTTGTTCGGGTACATTCATTTTCAAATGAAGATTTGGAGTTTTATTTTGCTTTATTATATAAAATTGTAAGTTTTATACACAAATACAAGGTAAACTGTTAAGGGAAGCTTGCTTTCTTTAAAATAACTTTTTTTCTTTTTGCCATTTAATTTTTTTTTTAAAACAAAGTGAGCCTAAAATAAAATAACTTTGTTTGAGCTCAACATTTAAGCTCAAGTCAAGTTGCTTGATAAACTTAAAACAAGTGTGAGCAGCCTACGGTGCTTGGTTAAGATCTGCTCATTTACCGTCTTGAGTGCAAACTTGAGGAATGTGTAGAGCTTGTTTCAATTGACATTGTAGCAAATCAATTATTTTTCTCGCTGTATTTGAGTTCTACAAGTTCTTTGATCCTATCCCAATCGAAAATGATGTACTAACATGACTTCTATGTGCAGGAAGATGAAACAATTAGAAAAAAACAGGCTTTCTTTGCTTTAGAAGATTGCCTGGATTCTAAATTTTGACGGCCAAAATACTTCCTCACTCTTTGAGTAAACATCAGGTGGGTAAATAGATGGGAAATATTTGTGGATTTAATATTTTTGATGGTCCTTGGTATAGAAAAATGCAAGTGAATCTTCATTCTTCGCCATATTGAGTCATCGAAGTTTGTATGTATTCAGAATTTAGACCCAATCTGGGCAATTTTTTGTTTGCCATGATCAGAATGCATAGTCTGTTTTCTTTTATTACTTCTTTCCTCCATATATAAAAGTATTGTATACACTCTTTATCATCAAGTAACTTGGGATTCGAGTACAGAATGGAGCAAATAGTTAAATTTTGGGATTCAAGCAGTTGCAGCAAGTCTTGTCCCCCAAGGTATTGAAACAACTGGTACTCTAGCTTGATGACCAAGTTCAGCACATCTTACCTGTTTATCCCCAATAACTGAAATCTACAAATGGGGTTGTTGCTCTAATACAACTGATAGGCAAATAAGACCTGCCTTGTGTTGTTTGCCTTTTTCCGCTTATGGCTTTCTCGAGAAAGCTGATGGCACCTCTCTTAACTAAAATAATCCCAATGTTGCACACGTTTTTATTGCATATTTATCTCATCAACAAGGAACAGATTGTATGCTAACTCTAGTTGTGTCAAGCTCTATGGTTATAAAGAAATTGCAAACATTGCAATATCAATACTTTCACAGCTACAGAGAAGCAGCCCTCAGTTAAAATCAGACTGATGACAATAAAAATGAAAGGAACAGAAGTAGACTCTCTAGTTTGCTTGTTCCATGTGTTCTTTGCTACCAAAATTTATTGCAATTATCTCCTAGTTCCTTACAAAATAAATAAAGTGAGATTTGATTCTAAGCATCTTGTGGCTGATATGGCATAACGTCAAGACAATTTAGGAACAAAGATTGGTAAAATCTATCCCTAGCGGATGTTTGATGCTGGATTCCGCCTGCCCTTTCCCCTTTGGAACGTAGCTGATTTTGCATATTCTGGCACTCGAAAAGACTTGGGAAACGAGCGGGCAAAACCAGTGGTCAGCTACTTCCATGTTTAGGGAACTTGGGAAAGTAAGGAGTGAACGTACAAGGGTGATAAGTCATCTAAAAGAGAGATGAGAAACACATTACTATCGTATCAGTATTAGTTAAGTCTGCAATAATTCGCATGTCGGAGTTGGTAACGGTCTAATCAGCAGTTGTCTTCTCTGCGGCATGATGTTGAATGTTGATTACACTTGGATAATTTTTATTTGTTCCTCACAACTAAGGGGAAGTTTATAATAAGATTTTTGTTTTCTTTCTTCCCACTTTCTAGACTTTTATTCAAAGCCACAGATGGAGGGGTCCCTGAGATTTTTAAGGCACGATAAACTCTGCCGATCAGGTCCAAATCTCTCCTTGCTCACAGCATAAACCGAAGGAAAATGCCTCAAGCTCTTCAGCTCCCCATTATTGACTTGTCCTCCGACGATCGCCTCTCCACTGCCCACCTTATCCGCCAGGTTAATGATGTTTTTTCTCTTTCTTCAATCTTTGGGTAGTTGCAGTTGCACTTTTAGTTTATATATATATTTTTTTCTATCCTCATCTATGATTAAAGAAAAGGCAGTGTTTAGGAAGCGAGAAACAGCAGAACCATGCAGTCTCATGAATATTTGTACTTCTAAGTGCAATTGTATTTGCTTTTGAAATTAATGAAAATTTTCATTTCTGTAAGATCAGTGACAGCCAGTCAGTCACCCAGCATGCGTCTATATCCCTTGTTCTGTAATTTTTTTTTCTTTTATTGTTTTGCCGTATTTCCATTGCTGTAGATGTAGCCATGTGTTTGATTTTTATTTTTGTAGCAAGAATGGTCTAGTCACGGCATTTGAAGTGTCTGGCTTTGGGTTATTCCTGTGGAAAATATGGTAATAAGGCGGATGGATTATCCAAATTCAGCAGTGAACTTCATTGCCAGTCATTCATGTCTATTGTCAAGAATATTTTCATATCAAAGTTAAGGGTTATGCTTCTGAAAAATTAAGAGGGTTCAAAGTCTGAATTTGGGAATTTTATTTCAGGCATGCGTTGACCATGGTTTCTTTTATATTGTGAATTATGGGGTGGAGGAAGAATTGCTCAAGAAAGTTTTTGAGCAGAGTAAGAAGTTTTTCTCACTCCCGGTTGAAGAGAAGATGAAATTGGCTGTCAAGAATCACAGAGGTTATACAGGGATGTACCAAGAGAAACTCGATACTTCTTTAAGTTCCAAAGGTATTTTGGTTTTGTCTATTCTTTTTCTGCTTTCTTTTTTAAGTATTGTTTAGCACTCATTGCAACAAGATTGATTTGAGATACTAGGGAGTAGTCAACATTGTCCATCTAATAGACAAACCAAAAATGAACTTTGATTGCTAATCAAGATTTTCATTGCTTTTAATCTTGAACTTTTATTCTATCCCCTTTCTGTGACCCATCAAGCAGAATTAATTATGGCGTATACAAGAAGTCCATTTGCTTTCTTTATCACTGGTTTGTTTACTATTAAGTGTACAAGGAATTGAAATTTGAGGTAACAAATGATTGCTTTTGGCTGGTTGAAAGCAGGTGACTCGAAAGAAAGCTTCTATATTGGTCCACAAACAGAAAATCACCTGAATCAATGGCCTTCTGAAGGTATGTAATGCTGTGAGTGCATTCTGATCATATTAGGCTGTTATGTTTATATTTAATACTAAGGTGTTGGAGTTATGAACCATAAGATCCTTACAAAAACCATATTCGGATAGCTTTCCCTAATTTCTTGATTCATCCTTTATTTGCACCTTTTTGACTTGTATAAATAATTTCTGCAGATAAAAATAAATTTGAGTGATACTTCAATTTGCTTGTGAATTTCAGAAGATCTACCATCTTGGAGAAGCACAATGGAGGCTTACCATAAAAAAGTGCTGTGAGTCCCTACTGTTGATTTACATGTTGACAGTGACGGTCTGCGGATGGGAATAAGTTTGATAAATGATATTTTTTAAGTTTAGAGGGTTTCTGTTTAATAATTTATAGCTTAGCTGCCTACTATATTAATCAACTCTGGTCTCTCAATATATTCCTTTCGACAAGTGTTTCTTCTGTAACTTGAAAAATATGATTTCTGTTTTACATATTCCCGCATCTTCCCTTAGATGTATGTATCATGGTGTTTTGCTGTTCAAAATTAGGTTAAAGTTTTTGACATACATTGCTTGGAAAATTATATGAGACGGGTCTGCCAATAGGACTTTATTCTACTGGCAGAAGTATAGAAAGACTCTGCAAGTTTACATGGTACTAGATTTTCTGCCTCAGGTCTGCTGGGACTAAGGTGAGTTCTTTAATTGCCCTGGCTTTGAACTTGGATGAAGATTTCTTTGAAAAATTGGGAGCATTGAATGATCCACTGGTGTTTATGCGCTTGTTACACTATCCAGGTATAGTGACATTGATTGTCTTCTTTGTGTTTGTTTAAGTCATCTACTGATGTGAACTACATTCTGGTTTTTAGAGCTTTCTTATTCTTTTTCCTATGTTTAATGAACTTTTGGCCCAATACATTGGATTTTTGACAAGACTTTCCCTGTTATCTTGTTCGTAGAACTCAAAATTTACATTCTTAGTCAGAATCCTTTTCTGGCTCAATTTTCATGGTCTTAGTGCATCAGGAAGAAATATGAAGTTAGAATTTGTGTTTTTCCTGTAATCCTGATGTTTTACTCTTTCGATTTGGATGGTCTTTAAGCACAAAATGCAAGTGTTAATGTTGAGTTAACTGCCACCACTACAAAATATCTCCCACAATTTCTTTGATAAATTGAAATTTTTTGAGGACAAATCTATAGATAAAAAACATATGATGAAAAGTTCATTGCCATAAAAACACAATGTGCCTCTTATTTTGATGTTAGGGGATGTGGACTCCTCTAAGGAAGAAATGTATGGTGCTTCTGCTCATTCTGATTATGGAATGATCACTCTTCTGCTGACTGATGGTGTTCCAGGGCTTCAGGCATGTTCCTTGTTAACAAAGATGTTACCCTTAAATGTTGTATTTGGATGTCAACATGTTTCACCTAAGTTCCAACAGGTTTGCAGGGAGAAATCCAAGCAACCACAGGTTTGGGAGGATGTGCCAAGCATAAGTGGGTGAGTAAATGGTGGTAGATTATGTAAACAGAAGGACTTTTTAAGTCATATAAAAGATTGATACACATTCTGATAGCCAACAAAACTGTTGATTATCCTGTTATGGAAATAATGAACTAGATGTGGTTGTGATTCCTGTGAATTAAATTACTATAACTTTGTGAGGACCTTCAAAATAAATTTAGATTGCAACTAATACCTTTATTTTCACCTCTCAGCATACTTTGCTGATTTTCCACACCATAGGAATTGATAATAGTTTCTCTTTGGTTTTTCACAAATCCAAGGATAAACCACGTACTTATATCTTGTTGAATCCAGTCTCTGAACATCGGATCTGAATCTGCAGGGCACTCATTGTTAATATTGGGGACATGATGGAGAGGTGGTCTAATTGTTTGTTCCGGTAATTTAGTTGCCTGTTATCTTGAATTGCTTTTGATGCTTCTCTTGGAGTGTTCATTAAATGTCTTTACAATGGCACTTTCTGTGTATCTCCTCTAATTGTGTCATCTATTTCTAGGTCAACACTGCACAGAGTGGTGCCAACAGGAGAACGCTACTCCGTAAACAGTTTCCTTTTCCTGTTTACTTTTACTGGCATTTCTTGTGTCATCATGTCTCAAGTGGTTCAGAATAATCGTTGCACATCATTCATGAAAACTTGAAGTTATTTTTGAAACATTTTGTTGAATGTTCTTTTAATTTTGACAAGCTTCACATGAAGGTGACATTATCTTTTCATGATCTGATAATTTGATGGGGACCAAAAGATTGAAATGCTATCACATTCCTCTGATGTCTTGAGTCACAATTATCTGCACTTTTCAATTGTGGAAGGCCTTTCTTTGTCCTGAAAGGTCTGTAATGCAACATTTCAGGTGGCATTCTTTGTAGATCCCAACAAAGACTGTATAGTGGAATGCTTGGAAAGTTGCTGCAGTGAGTCTTGTCCCCCAAGGTATAGCGACAACTGGTACTCTTAACTCTGTGTTTACGGTTTTGGTTATAGCTAAAACAACCTATCAAATAGATTTTGATCAATCTCAGCTTCGTTTGTATTTTTGGGCACAGATCTAACTGTTTATCCCCAATAACTGAAATCAGAAAAGAGGTTGTTGGTTATAACGCAGCTGATGGCCAAAAAGAATCTGCCTTGTTGTGCTGTTTGCCCTTTCCCACTTGTGGCAGTTTTAAAAATGCTAATGGCTCCTCAATAATTTCTTGAATAATCCCCTATGCATTGAAACTTCGAAATTAATTGAGCTCAACTATGAACTTGAAAGCTGTAAATAAATCTGAGTTGCAGCTTAGGTTTGCTGGTTGAATCCAGGAGTCAACTGAATGAGAACACTCAAGCCTACCTAGTAGTTTTCATGTCTAATCTGAGCAAAGAATGTTCCAGGTTTTCTTCCATATGTATCACAACAACATGGGAGGTAACATCTATTTATTCTGACCTTGCAGATTTCCACCCATCCGTAGCTCAGACTACCTGCAAGAACGCTTTAGAGTTACAGCTACAGCTTCTGTTGAAAATTATCTGCTTTAGCTACAGTTAGTCGTCTCAAGCTTTCTGCTGCTAAATAAGCTGCAGGCCCCAATCATGATTGCAGTAACATTAAGGACAGTTTATTATCTTCAAGTGAAGCAAATGGAATTTGCTTTCCTAGCTTGCTTGTTCTATACATGCATTCTTACTTCCTAATAAATATTATATTTTAGTTCCCTATATATACTAATTGAACTTTATTTATAAATGTAGATCACATATAAGTATATTTTATTCTGTTTTAAATTAAGGAAATTATTATCTAGCCATCCGACTACTCATAGTGTGATAAATATCCTTAATTATTTCAATGTGAGTAATATTATTTTGTCTAATTTTTTAATGCCCAATTACTCATAAATGACACAGTGCAATAAATAATAATTTTATTAGTATTTATTTTTTTTGTGATTCATATAAACCTTTTATTACTTCAATGTGAGTAATATTATTTTATCTGATTTTTTATCGTCCGACTATTTATAAATGAGATAGTGTAATAAAAAATAATTTTATTTGCATTTTTTGTGATTCAGATGGTAGATTATAAGACACTTTAGCATTTCTTAATAGAAGTTTATCTTCAAAATGAAATGCGTAAACCTAATGAAAAGAATTTTATTTTGTCGGCTACATAATTAGCATTGCAATGAAAGATTAGCAGTTTATATCTAAATAAGACAAATTAATAAATACACTCCATAAAAGACAAGGTATCTGTTCTGCTCTCTGGGTTTTTTCAACTTTAAAAGCAAAAAAAAATTTAGGCCAAAAACGTTCCAGATGTTACCAACTCCCCACCAGAACTTTCGGATGAGTGTATAGAAGTATGGGGGAACTGGTCCAAGACTCATTGCTAATCAAACTAAAGTTGCAGCATTAACCAAAAAGATGTCATCTCAAGCTCTTCAACTCACCATCATCGACTTGTCTTCAATTGATCGCCTCTCCACCGCCAACGGATCTATCCGTTATCAGGTTTACTAATATTAATGTTCTTTGGTCGTTGTAGTTAGGCCTTTTGTGTGTTACTTTTTAACTGGTTGTTTCTTCTCCTTTGAAAAAAGGCAATTGTTCCCTGCTATAGGAAGGAATGCAATATCATCAATGCAGTGCCATAGAGTTTGCATTTTGATTTCAAGCAGTGTCTTGTCTTTGGGGGGTTTTTCTTTTTGACATAAAATGGAGCAAAAGAGCAGATACAGATTATCCAAATTTAGCATTCATTGCCAGTACTTTATGTTGAACTGTTGATAGCTAAGAATCTTTCTTTTTTTTAAAAAAAAAAAGGTTATGTTTTTTAATGATTAAGAAGGTTCAAATTCTCAATTTGGAAATTTTATCTCGGGCGTGCTTGGATCATGGTTTCTTTTATCTCCGGAATCATGGGGTGGAGGAAAAATTGCCTTTGTTACACTATCCAGGTATAGTGGCATTTATTGTCGTCTTTGTATTTGTTTCAAGTCATCAACTGATGCGAACTAAGTTCTGGTTTCTATGGGCATTCATATACTTTTTCCTGTTCTTTCTCAATGAATTTTTGGCACTATCCATCTGATTATTTAACAAGACTTATCCATTCTGTGTTGTTTGAGAAACTCATCAAAGTTTACATTCTGTTGTCATGATCCTTTACTGGGTCAATTTTGATGGTCTATATATTTTAGGTGGAGATTCCTCTCCTAATGAAGAGACGTAGGGTGCTTCTGCTCATCCATTGCAAGTGATAGGGTATTAGAGACGCACGCATTTGGACTCCCAAAATTTATTGAGCTTAGGTTTGATGGTTCAACTGAGAAAAACCAGTCTGATTTTTTGAAGTCTTTTTCATGTATAATCTTAAGCAAGGAATGTTTCCACTTCTTCCATGCAGACGTCCACCCATCCGTAGCTTGGACTACCTGGAAGAACGCTTTAGAGTTGACACCCATGGCTGGCTTCCACTGAAAGTCATGCAATATTTCCCCTGATTCACTGCTGCACTTTATTCCTTATCAAAGCTTTCTGCTGCTAAAGAAATTGCAAATACTGCAATATTATTACTTCACAGCTAGCTGCAGGCCTCAGTAATGATGAAGTAATTGTCACACTCCAAAGAGAAGGGATGAAATTTCTCTTAATTATTAGTATATATCGATCATTGCAAATTTTATGCATTAAACCAAGTCCTTATATTTTGTTTGCATTAAACAATTTTTGGGTTGCAAATTTTTCTGGATTTGACCTGCAGAGACTGAAACCCGAGTTTGGTCAAAGTCGGTGCGCTTAGATTTTTCCATTGTTCTGGCCCAGGAGAAGGACTTGCCTGAAAACCCGGAAGCTACTTGGAACGAGTGAAGATAGTTCCCAGTTTACTTGGAAGAATGATTCACAGTGACACGTGTCAGCTAATAAAGTCTACATAGTGCCTCCTTCCAATCCTCTTGGTGGAGAAAATATGGGATGTCACAGTTTCACGGTGAGAAGGTGAAGAAAGAAAATGCCAATCAAACTATAGGAAAATGAACAAAGAAAAATCACTTTTGTGGTTGAAGTTGAATCATAGCCCTACCTCTGCTGTGGATAATCACGTGGACTGCAACCATGGTGTCCTTAAATTTTACGAGCCACACCTTAAACTCATTGGAGACAGACAATGAGACAATGACATTTGGACAACACGTTTTGTCTTTTCTTTTTTTTCTCCTGTTCTTTTTCTAGTTTTTATTTTATCAAATTAAACAAGACAATTTAAATTAAATTTAAAAGGGATATATAAACATTGGGTAAGGTTGGAAATGAACCAAAGAGAAAAAAAGAAAAAAAGGTTGAAGTTCATCGAATGTTGATGAACCAACACAAAAAGTCATATAAGAGAAAAGGCCCTCATCGAATAAGATCACGCTTTTAGCATCTTTGTCATTGATATCTAATTATGGGAATGATCCAGATTGATCACGTTAATTCGACCCAGAAATCTGAGCCGTCCGTCGACGGTCTGGGCCTGCGAAAAGATTATGATTCTTGTTCCGGTGGGGTCCACAAGTAAATATATAAAAAATTAAATTAAAAATGATAAACAGGCAATTGATAAATATTGCCTGTGGCTTTGGATAAAGGCCTTGTGCAAGTGAAAATCCTTTTTTTCGGAAGATAACTTATCCTATATGCTAGTATACGTTAGCATATGCCACACGTCTCAATTTGGAAAGATATGCACGTGTACGGTCCCAATAGATCTTACTGAACTTTTTGATCCAGACCAAGATTACGTTCTGTTCCCAAGAACGTTCCCTTTCCGTACACGTGTCATATCAAGTTTTTCTCCTTAATTTAAGATTTCCCTCTCCCGTTCACTTTGACAATAATAATTGTTTTACCAAGTACTAATATTTTATTTTATCCTCCTTCACCTTGAAATTGATTTTGTGAGGGTGGACCCTTGAATTAAAGAGCACCCAACCAACACTTATCAATGACTGGATATTATTGGATTTTTCTTTTTTTATTTTTTTGGCTTTGAGTAGAAGACAAAGGTAGGGTAAAGAGATGCGGACAATTGCTAGTACAATTTAATACTCCTATCTTCTTTTACCCAAAAAGACATAAAAAAAAGTTGTTTATTTTCTTTTACTACTTTATTATAGGATAACCATTTGAAAATCCTATATAAAACCAAAATTAACTTTTATGTTTTGTGAAAAAATGGGTAATATATAATTACAAATTGGCATTTCAGCATGTATAGGGATGTCTATATATTGAAGAAGTGGATAATTAGTTACAAAGAACCAAAAAAGAAAGTTATTAATAAAATTGGTTGGATATAATTTTTTTTAATAGTAAGTCACCTTAATAGAGAAATGCCATTCATATACCATAATAGATATAAAAATATGGGTTCAATTCAAAATTTCTTAATTAAAAAAATACATAAAATGCAATATAAAAAATAATATTTAGTATTTTTTTATAAATAAACTCATTAACTAAGACATACTATTTTTCCCATTTTTGTTAATATATACATATATTGCCTCCTCCCTTCCATGTAATTTAAACTAAACTCCAATGCAAAATCTTGAATCCCTCCTGATTAAAGAAGCATCACCTAACTACTAAAGCTTGTACATGTCTTACTATACCTTGAATTTGCATCAAGTAATATTTGGTGCACCAACCATTAAACCGTAGCCCTTTTGTTCACACCTTGGGCTATTTTCATGCCTAGAGTTTTAAGTGTTAGGACATGTATTTCACTTCATTAAATCCCTCAAAGAGAATATTATCTATACCCTAATTATCAAAATTAAACCTTTGTCTTTTCCAAATCCTACCCCTTTTCCCTTTCTTTAATGTGTCATACTAATCAATATTCTTCTTATCCTCTTTCTAAACAAGCAAAACGCTTATCCAAATCTGGTCTAAAGGTGCTTTACTTCCCTTGGTAAAGAAGAAAACAATTTTCTTTTTCTTTTTTTTTTCTCTCTTCCCTTAATTAAAATAAAAGATTTATTTTTTATTAATTCGAACATTAAATTTTGTATCCTTTTAAGATAATACTTATAGGATATGATGCCTGAAATTATTTTTTATTTTAAAAAATGGAGAGACAACATAGGACATAGTTTATTGTTGAAAGGAAAAATAAAATAAGGATATATAGAAACTAATTGAATGGACTCATGTCTTAAGTCAACTCCCCACACCAAACGCACGATTATGTCACGCCAATTTTGACTATATCAACGGCTGAAATCCAATATATTCATTTCTACTAAGTAAAGTCCGCGAAGCACCGGATTATTTTATTTTCATCTTGTAATAAAAACATGATATATGGATATCGTCTGTCCCTCTTTCTCTCTCTCTCTGTCCATCTGCAAAGACAGCCAGAGAGAGAGCTGCCAAATAAGGGGAAAGAAGAAGTTGTTCTTTTTCTTCGTTCAAAAGCAGAGCCCTAACCTACATGCGGTTCGGATCCGGATCCTCAAAGATCCGATTCACATATATCTCTGTAGTTTCCAATCTGATCTGATCCAAAACGAACCCACCCGACCTTAACAAATGACGCGTCGCTGCTCGCATTGCAGCCACAACGGGCACAACTCTCGGACATGCCCGAACCGAGGGGTGAAGCTTTTCGGAGTCCGGTTGACTGACGGGTCGATTCGGAAGAGCGCCAGTATGGGTAACCTGAGCCAATACTCCGGGTCGAATTCCGGCGCGCATAACGGGAACGGGTCGGGTTCGCCCGGTGAGGGTCCGGATCACGCTGAAGGTTATGCTTCAGAGGATTTTGTCCCCGGGTCGTCTTCGAGTCGTGAAAGAAAAAAAGGTTTCAGCTCTTTAAGAAATCAATAATTTGATTTTTCTTAATTTTCTTCGTTTTATTTGCTTTATATTGTTTGAGCTCTTATTTGGTGGTTAATTAGAGCAAAGAACACAAAGTGATAGAAGAAATGTTCCAAATGCTTAATACTATTTGATTTAGCTTAACATTTTTATTTATTTATTTTTTGGTTACAGTGATCGTGTATGATTTCTGCAAAATTTTGACATGTTTTATTTTACTTTTACATTGGCATGATTAAATAACTTATGGATTTAAACGAAAGTTGTGTTTTTTAGGGTAATTTGGGTTTTAATATGTAGTGATTTTTCTTTTGCTTGCAGTAAAGTGGGTTGTTGTTGAACTAAGAAATGGATAAGATAACTTAATTTCTTTAATATTGACTTAGAATATGTGAAAGTGGTGGATAAAGATATATGAAATGCACAAGTATGTGTATGATCAAGATTTTAAGGATATTAATAAAACTTTGACAATTTATGCTATGATGGTTAATTATTGGGTTAAAGTTTGTCCAAAAGAATGATTATCAGATGTGTTCTCACTGAGTTTTGGAGGTAACAAAGTAGTACCTTTTTTGGTGCCCGGTGCTTGTCTACCTGGCCCTACCTTTGTTTTATGTTACTTGGATAAATTAAATAAGAATGGTGGATAATCCAATGTGAAGAAAAAAGTGGATGCTCAAACCGGACTTGAATTTTGAATGGAATAAGTGATCTGAAGTATGCAAGGGTGTGCTTTCCTCAATTCTTGAATGAGTTATAATTTGTTTTGCAGGTGTTCCTTGGACGGAAGAGGAGCATAGGATGTTTCTACTTGGTCTGCACAAGCTTGGGAAAGGCGATTGGCGTGGAATCTCACGCAACTATGTTATATCAAGGACTCCTACTCAAGTGGCTAGCCATGCTCAGAAATATTTCATCAGGCAGTCCAATGTTTCTAGGAGAAAAAGACGTTCCAGTCTATTTGATATTGTTGCAGATGAAGTTAGTACCCTACTCTCTACAAATGATACCTCAATTGTCCGATTGTACATGTATGAATAGCTAATTTGACTTGGTAGTTTTATTGTAACCCCTAACTTTTTTTAAACATTAAGAAATTAGTACTGTAGATTTGATAAGGATGGACATACCTTGAGGTTTCTATTCTTGCTTGTGAAGATTTTGTCTTCTTTATGGTTGGAACTTATCATTAAGTTCACTTACTTTGTCTAAAGATTGATAATTTTCAGCAGAAATACTTTGTTTTTTTAATTGATAAAAATTGGAAGCTGCAGTTGTTTCAATTTAATGCACATATTTTTTTGTGTAGCTATTCTAGCTTAGGTCCTTTTGAGATAATAGGTTTGTAGTACCATATTTACTTACAGTATCCATCTTAATATTCTTCAGTTGATTTATTTTCATGGATGCATCTTCCAATGCTAGTAAACGTTATGTATGCTCCCCTTTGCCCCCTTTTCTAGGTGTCTAATGCATCTGCTTCTTTACGTTCTTGCAGCCAGTGGACACTGCAATGGTATCACAGGATTTATTCTCTGCAAACCATCTCCAAGCTGAAACTCAGAGCAATGACCAGTTACCTGTTCCGCCTCCATTGGATGAAGAAGATGAATCAATGGATTCCAACAACTCAAATGATGGGGAAACTGTTCCTCCAAAGTCAGAGAGCTCGCAACCCTGTTACCCAGTAGTATATCCTGCTTACTTCCCACCATTCATTCCATTTTCCTTTCCATATTGGATGGGTGGTAATACAGAACCAACCAAGAAGGACACACATGAAGTGGTCAAGCCAACAGCGGTACATTCAAAGAGCCCAATCAATGTTGATGAGCTGGTGGGCATGTCAAAATTAAGTTTGGGAGAATCTATTGGTGATAATGGCCCATCCTCTCTTTCATTAAAACTTCTTGATGGTTCATCTAGGCAGTCTGCTTTCCATGCTAATCCTGCTTCTGGTAGTTCAAGCATGAATTCAAGTGGGAGCCCCATCCATGCAGTTTAAGCCCCAACTTTTTCTGAGCTTAATGTCTTAGGTTAGCTCAGGGTTTGCGAGCAGTACAGGTCATTGTTAATAGAAGACTAATAATGTGCAGTCTGGTCTGGGTTTAGTTATATATTTCTTTTGTGGGATCAACTCAATAAGTTTGTTTTCTTTTTTTTTTAGTAACTTAATTCAATGTTTAGCTTTAGGTTGTAGCATCTTGTCAGAAATTATTTGAATCCTTAACAGTCTCTGTTTGTCATGATTTGCATAATATTGCTCATGCTACTCACCTAGCTCGAAGCTGTGCAGTTATCAGTATTCTTCTTGTATTCCTCTCATTAGCATGCTTTCAGCAACCAGCACACAAATGGAACATTGTGACTGAGAATCCAAGCCCCTTCTTCCCTGCTCTCTGTTCCATCTCTAACGCTCCCTTTTCGTCATCCGCCCTCCTCTTTCAGTGCCAAGGATGAGCTCCACGCCTCTCCTCCATTCCCTCTGTTTTTCCAAAAGGAGGGCCTTATCTAACGTCTCCCAAGCTCTCGCCTGCAATTCAAGAATCACATCACATTATTGCAATTGCCTTGCATTAATATAAAAAACCAAATGTACGGATACGGATAGGGCTATTATTTCTGCTGGTGTTACTAAGAAGAGGTATCAATAGTCAAAGTCATATTTCTTCAGAAAAGTTGCTGACGGAGGATCTGGTGATGAGCGTATGGCCAAGGGCGGTGCAAGCCCTTAGGGCCCTCGCCATTGCAGCGCATGCGGTTGCCCTGGAACCCAGCTAAGTAGAAGGGCCCATCTAAAAAGCCCAACCCTCTATCCTCTAGAAACAAAAACAAAGCGAGAAAGAGCATCTAAGCGGCAAAGGGCCCTGCAGCAGGCACCTGCACGAAGAGAACCGGAAAACAACATGTTCAATCTCAACAGAACCATTGCCACTCCCAAACTATGGAACAAAAAGAAATCCCTACAGCAGCAACAACCACGTAGATCGCCATTCTTTTTCCTCTCACTATCTCTCCTTTCTGTCCTCGTTTTCTTCTTCCTCACTTACACTTCCATCCCCAAATCCCTCTTCTCAACCTCTTCCAAGACCGTAAACGCAGCCCTCTCCCCCCAATACCCACATTGCAGAACTCAAATTCCAGAGGAGAAATTCATGTGGTATGCGCCTCATAGTGGGTTCAGTAACCAGCTTTCTGAGTTCAAAAATGCAATTCTAATGGCGGGTATTTTGAACCGTACCTTAATCGTCCCTCCCATTCTTGATCACCATGCCGTAGTTCTTGGTAGCTGCCCTAAATTTAGGGTTCAGAGTGCTAAAGAGATCCGGCTTGCTGTTTGGGATCATATCATTGAGCTCATTAGAAGTAAGAGGTAATTGGGGTTGCCCACTTTCTTTGAAGTATATCTATTTCAATTAATTTCGCTACTGAACTGTTGAACTTTTTGTATTTTTGAAATTCTGGGCTTTATTATTTTCCCCTTTTAGATTACTTTTGCTTCAATTGGTTGTGTTCTACTTTGTGGCGACAACATGTGGTCAAATTTGATTGGCGATCCAAAAGATATATTACAAGAGATATTCATGGATGTTGTAATCTTGTTACTATTCTGTTCCTCTCAAGTTCAAGTTCAAAGTAATTATAAAAATCGTAGCTTGGGGCTTTAATTTTCCTTTTATTCCTATGAATTATGACAATGTAAGTCACGAAATTACTTAAGCTTATTTCAAGAAAACAAATTGTAATTATTTTTGTTTTGACAATGCTGCGGCTGATCTCAGATTCAGGAAAGTTCAATCACTAATCAAATTCAGTATTGGTTAACACCTTTTGGACCTAGCTTTTGTTTAAGTTATATTTTTACCTCTCGTTGCAGGTATGTCTCCATGGCTGATATCATTGATATTTCTTCAATACTGTCATCTTCACTTGTTCGAGCCATAGATTTTAGGGTTTTTGTGTCCTTGTGGTGTGGTTTGAACATGGATTTGGTTTGCTCGAATGAATTGAATGCACAGCAGTCTATGACTGATAGCCTAAGGCAATGTGGCTCTCTGCTATCTGGGATTGATAATAATATAGATCGATGTTTGTTTGCTGTAGATGAAGATTGTAGAACAACAGTTTGGACATACCAAAATGATGAAGTTGATGGGGTATTAGATTCGTTTCAACCTGATGAACAACTCAAGAAGAAAAAGAAAATTTCGTATGTTAGAAGACGCAGAAATGTATACAAGACTCTTGGGCCTGGTAGTGAAGCTGAATCAGCAACTGTTCTGGCATTTGGAAGCCTTTTTACAGCCCCATATAAAGGTTCAGAGCTCTATATCGATATCCAAAAAGCACCAGGAGATCTGAAGATAAAATCTTTAAATAAAAAGATTGAATTTCTTCCATTTGTCCCTGAAATTATAAGCTCAGGAAAACAGTTTGCTATGCAGTCCATAAAGGCTCCTTTTCTCTGTGCACAGCTTAGGCTGCTAGATGGGCAGTTTAAGAACCACTGGAAAGCTACTTTTTTGAGTTTAAAACAAAAATTAGATTCATTAAGGCAGGCAGGTTCTCGACCAATTCATATATTTGTGATGACTGATCTCCCTCAAGGTAATTGGACTGGAAGTTACTTGGGTGATTTGGCTAGGGATTCAGCCAATTTTAAGCTGTATTTTCTGAGAGAAGAAGATTTGTTTGTGATGAAAACGGCAAAGAAACTAGCACTTGCAGGACATGGCTTGAGGTTTGAATCTGTTCCTGCAAGTTTGGATGCAATGGCTAAGTTGGAGAAGCATTGCTCTCCTGATATAGTACCTGATGTACTCCTATATATAGAGGAAACAGTTTGCAGTTGTGCTTCACTTGGTTTTGTTCGGACTGCTGGGTCTACAATAGCAGAGACTATTGAGGTTATGAGAAAATATGGGTCATGTTCGATTCCAACTCCAACAGCTTGGTGACGTGTATTCATTTATAATTTACTTGATAGAATTTCAGTGGTTCAGTTCTTGGGAAGCATGCCCCACGTGTGCTCTTGATCTCCAACTATAAAAGCTTAACAAAGAGCTCTCAGTCAGACACAATGACTATTTCTGCAATCGAGTGTTTTCTTCTTTTATTTCTTGATGATCCAACTGATATTCAAGGAGCTTCTGTTTAATGGCACTCAATGTCATGTAAATGGAAGAAGTTGGCTCTCTGCTGCACCAGAGCATTCAAGATTGTTGTTTCTGAAAGGAAAATATTCATCACTTCCAAAAGCAAAATGGTTGTAGTGTTTTCGTGAAAGTAATGAATCATAAATTAGGAGATGGAGTGTACCTAGTGTTATGCATGGTAAAGTTGCTATCTTCCACCTGTATAAGTTTTTGTTTCCATACCTGGGGGACTGCGCTTCTGTGATTTTGCCCATGCTTCTGATTCTTTTGATAAAACCGGGTTGAAGACAACCCATTGCCCATAATCTTGCGCTCCCACCGCAAAAGAAAAAACAAAAAACCATCCATACCATAATCATTGATTACCTCAATGCCACATATGTTTACCAAATTGTAAGTTTCGAGGCGCATCAAGCTGCGAGATTCACAGCTGATTTCGGTGTGAACACTGATGGTGACCAGCTGCAAGAGATGAGACTAGGCACTTGCCATCGGAACTTCTTTTTCCACCGGTTATCACCTTCCTCACTACGTTTACAAAATTAGGAACGCTTTTGTTTTGTGTTAGACACGGCACTGATCCGTAACGTTGTCACCTGGTCAATGTTAATAATCGTTTTCTCAAAAGTCAATGTTGTACGTTTAGTACAGACTTAAGATTTTACTTTGAGCAGGTAAAGATTTAAGAGTGTCAATATTTCGTGAAAGATTTTTTTTCTTGAAATAAGATTCAATTTTTTTATTAATTATTATAATTTAATTTTAAAATTTAAAATTTTTGAAAATTATTTAAAATAATTAATTATTATAATTATAAATAATTTAATAATATTATTATTATTTTCAATGTTTAGATAAACTTTAACAACAAACAAAAATTAATAAATATAACAACAAAAATCTTAATGGAAAGCAATACTTTAAAAAATACTAAGTGTTATCAATAAACAATTTAATGAAAAGCAAATTCTTAAAATTAATCACAAAAATTAAATATAACATCAACAAATAATTAAATGAGGAAATAACTTTCATATAAAAAAACTTAATTGTTCACCATAATATAAGTTATAAAACACAAACAATTTATAGAAAAACAATCAAGCAATTTCTAAATAAATAAATAATAACTAATCTTCGGAGCTTAATCAAATCCTTATTTTGTTGCTTTCAACAAAAAATGATTAAGACGGTAAACCCTAAATTATTATCTCTAAATAGAAATTATTAAATAAAAATTTTAAAATTAAAAATATTAAAAATAAAATAATAATAAATAAACCAAACTTACATGACATGAAAATTGAGTTACTAACTAAAAGTTTTATACATAGAAAATGCTCAAGCCAAAAAGTGTAGGAAAAAAATAACTTTTTTTTTTATTTTGTAAGAAGAAAAAAGAACAACAGGTGATTTGGAAAAGTGACATTTAAGTATAATTTTATTGCAATAAGTTTTATTTTGAGTTATAAGTCTATTAAAAATAGTTATTGACTAATTATTGTGGGGTATCTCATTAAACCAAAAATTATTATAGAGACAAAATTATAAAATTTCAAAAAAAATAAAAGTATGTGAAATTAATTTTAAAATTTGTATAGGGGTGAAATTAAAAAAATTTCAAACAAAATAAAAAGAAGTATAAAAATTTTAAAATTGTTGGGGACAGGGGCCTACTAGCACCTCTTTCCTCCTTTTAGCACGAAGACGTCATAATTAATTAAACATGTTAATGATCTACGTATATATATATGAATATATTTATTAAATGTTAAATTTTTTTTCAAAAATCAATGTTAATAATTCATTTAAAAGTGATTAACATAATTAATTTGTTTAAATTTATATTAAATTAATTATACAAATCAAATAATACGAACTAATACGGTAACCTAATTAAGAAAAGGAGTTATGCCATTCTTGTAGAGTGTTAATATATCATATGCAAAACAACAAAGTCTAGCTGTAGATGTACCATTTTATTTATGAGGCCATAAATAGAGCAATGCTCAAGCTAGTGAATTTGGTATAGTAAATAATGACATAATAATTAAACCAAATAAATTTTGTTACAAATGGGAAAACATTTCTTCTTCATTTCAGAACTTTTTTTTTTGTATTAGTCATTAATCTCAAAGAAATTATATAAATCCATACAGAAAACAGAAAATAATGGGTAAAACATGATAATCCTATTTCAACCAAATTACAATTAAAGAAAATGGAAAAGATATCCTAGAAAAAAAATAAAACAAAAAAAAAGAATTTTGAAACCTTTACTGATATTAGATAACTTACTTATATAATTCATTAAATAAATTAAATAATTTTAGCAATCTAGGCCCATTACCCTTTTCACATAAAATATTGGTAAAGTTGTGGAATAGGAATTCGTACTTCTGACCCACATACGTTCAATCCTTAAATTGGCAGTTGAAGTCGTTGGGCATCCTTAAATTATGAGATTGAATTTTCAATTTTTTTGGGTTACACTATTGAATTTTTAATTTTAAATTTTGAATTTACATTTTACTGACATTTTCCAAGGTTCAAAGTTTCAAAACCAATTCACGTGTTTGAATGACTCTCCGTTTTTTTTTAAATTCAATCAAATTAATTTGATATAATACCTAAAAAATTTTAAATTATTCAAAATAATTTAAATAAATTATTTTTTATTATATTTAATTATTTTTTTATTTTTTATTTCAAATCCAATAAATATTTATAATTGACAATTGATTAACTAATATTAATCATAACATCACTTATTATTTTATATTATATAATTTTAACATATTATAAAAATAATAATATAATATGTTAATATAATAAATAAATATACATTTTTTAAACAAAATTATAAAAAAAAGGAATGAAGTAATTCTTTCCATAAAAAAGAACCAATACAAATAGACCCAAACCAAATTGTTAAATTATTTTTTGATTCTTGGAATAACTGTTATCCGGAAAAGCAGATGAGAAGATATGACGAATGAGCTATTTTGCGGTTGTTTGGACAATTTGGAAATGTCAGAATGATGTCAACGGTAAAGATTGGGATAATACATCGTGCTTGGAGATCTCAAAGATAAGAGTGGCCTTTTGGGCTAATACTAAATGGCCCAACGAGTATTCTTCTGTTCTGACTACTTTTATGTTTCCTAAAGTTGGATGTGATGGTAAAAAGAAAGCAAAAAAGAGAAAAGGTGCTACATGGGAAAAACCAAAGCTAGGGCAACTGAAGTTTAATGTGGATGGAGCGGCTTAAGGATGTCCGGGACCCACTGAAATTGGGGGTATATTGAGGAATGAGAAGGGAGAGGTGTTAATTACCTTCTCTAAAACGATTGGTATTGCCAACTCTATTACTGCAGAAGTTCTCGCTGTGAAGGAGGCTTTCTTGATCTTCTCAGCATCGAGATGGAAAGATAGTCATTCCTTGTTGATTGAAAGTGACGCGTATAATATTGTTAGATGGATTAAAGATCTTGCGAGTGTGCCTTGGAGACTGAGATTTTGAATGAATCAGATTGAAAGGTTAAAGGAGATATGTATAGAATAGGAAATCAAACATTCACTAAGAGAGGTTAACCAAGAAGCCAATTCACTTGCTAAAGCTGCCATCCATCTTCAAAGTGAGATATTAAGAGGGAACTAAATTCCTTTTTTAATCTTGATTGTGGAAGTGAGGTTCAACTATGGCTAACCTTCGGTTTCGGTTTGATGGGGGGTTATAGCTGTTAACGAGCCTTGAGTCTTTTGTCTGTATTTGAGGTTTTTTAGTAATGATCCCTTTCCTACACCTTTTGGATTGGGAGAGATGACAATTAGGATGTAGGGATGTGTAGTTAAGTTCGTAGGTGTCTGAAATTTCCTGAGACCTTTTTATTTTTAAGAGAGAAGAATGTTGTAACTTTTTTTGAGATTACTTCTGTTATTTTGAGTTGGTGATGTATACAGGGGATGTTTTTTTTTTATCTTTTGAAGAGGTTTTTGAAAACATATATCAGATAAAATAGATTGATATATGAACCAAAGCTTTCTGCTTTAATGTTTATGTGTAAGGAAGAAGGGATTCATGTCCCTGCATTATGAATAAACTTGATGCCTTTGCTATTCAAAAAAAAAATAGACCCAAACCACCAGCATGATGAGTTGCATGCCCTCTTTTTCCAAGCAAGCTTATCACACCAACATCCCTTGATAAAAATCAAAAGCCTACCCAACCGGCTGCAATATCCTTAGCCCTGCTTTCAGCACCATGTCGGCGACTTGAAAACAAAAGATCATGTACAACTCTATATACAGAAGTATCAACAATATCCTTAGTCAGTACATGAATATTTTTATTTTTTATGTTGGTGTTATGTGATAAAAAAATTATTATTTTAATTAATTATTAATTATAAAAATTAATTTAATTTAAAATAAAATATATAATAAAAATTAAAATTTATTCAAAATTTATAAATAATTCAATTTTTTTTAAAAGTATCATTTAAATTAATTAATAGTATTATTTATTGTGCTTATAAAATTCATTAGGTAGATTCTGTCTAAAAAAACGCCATAACAAGAAATTCTAGTATTATTTGATTAATTGAAAAATTGACTGAATCCAATTTCAATGTGATAAAATTGAAAGATTATTTTTGGTAAGCATTCATTTTTTCTTTACAAAAAAGGAAAAAATAAAGCAAATAGTGGTCGGTGCACGGTAGGATGCCAACGCGATGGCGCATCCAAATTCTATTTGCACTCTAAAAAACTGTTTGGTCATCTTTTCTTTCATTTAAAACGTTGACATTCACATGTGATACATGAGTTATCTTTTATTTCTTAAGTCGTTATAAAAAAATAGGAAAAAGAAAATATATATAAAACCCAAAAAACAAAAGGGAAAGAAAGAATAGTTGTAATAAAAAAATATTATTTGAGTGGGACAATGCTGCGACGTTAACATTACTTCAACGAGCTTTACCTTGGGGATACTCATATGCAATTCGGCTATTCCAAGGCTCCTAGTTCTTGTTGCTGTTTTTGCTGTGTTTGTTTCCATTTTTTTGCTTAACCAAAGCCAAAATACAAATTCGGAATTTAGATTTGAATCGAGAGAAAAATGGAGGCACTGGATTACCACGCGGAGGAGAGGAGCAAGG